ATGGACAAAGAATGTCACCTGCCATTTCAGTAAATAAAGGATGTTGCGGCCATCAAGCCGTCAGCCCCGGTAGCCGTGGTGCATCCTGAGGGGACTTAAGATGGAGGAAAACAGGACGCTGTCCCTAGGTAGTTAAGTTAAGGTGCATATTCAAGGAATAATTGCAGTGAGCCCAGACTCTTGCATCTTCCCATACGTAGAAAAGTGCTAAATTCATTAACTTGCAATATCTGAGTTTTTTAAGTAACTAGCAGTAATCTTTTGGATATTCAACTACCTAATAGGTTGTTTTTGTTATTGCAAAATCTCCTATATATCCTGTCTCCTCCCTCCCCTCTTCAGAACATTCCCTTAGAGCTATCTGAGAGGCTATGTCCTGGGCTTAAGCCCTCACAAAATCTGTCAGATAAAACAATTCTCAACTGTTAGGTTGTGCTTTATTTTTTTCAGTCGACACTTTGATCCTTATGTGACCTGAAACAAGTTCACAACTTCATCAAACCATCTACAAAACAAAGATGATTTTTCTATTTTTCTATAGTAGCTAACTTTTATGAGAACTTCCATCAGGCACTTGTCTAAGTGCTTTTTATATAATTTATTCAACCCTCACAGCAAATCTGAGATAAGAACAGTATCTTATCTACAGTTTACAGGCTGGGAAACTAAATCACACCGTACCCATCTCACACAGGTATTGGGGAGAACTAAATAAAACTATGCACATAAAGAATTTAGTCTTGTCCTTAACACAGTATAGTCTTAATAAAGGGCACTTTTTTAAAAAATTAATCACTCTCACTTTGCAGATGAGGAAATTAAAAGTCAAGGTTCACATAGAAAATCAACATGGTTGCCTAGGTGAAAGTAGGGTGGGGAGAAATCAATTGGGAGTCTGGGATTTGCAGATACTAACTACTATAAACTAGACAAACTAGATAAAATATAGGTCCTACTGTATAGCATAGGGAACTATATTCAGGACCTTGTAATGCCCTATAATGAAAAAAAATGTGGAAAGGAATACATATGTGTGTATATGTGTAAATGAATCACTATGCTGTACACTAGAAATTAACACAACATTGTAAATTGACTATACTTCTGTTTAAAAAAAAACAAAAGACTCAAGGTTAAATAACTTTCCAACGTCATCGCAAGTCAGAGAGTGACCAAGCAGAGTCAGTGACTCTGAAGTCAGAACGGTATCCACTCACTAGTCCATCCTAATTAACGGAGGGGAAATGGGGAGAGAAACATATTAGCACTTATTCTTTAGATACTGACTTATTTACTTTTAGATGGGAAAATAAAAAAGATTTCAGAGTAGCACTTAGCACTCACCACCAACATTGGTGTGGGCCCTAGTTCGCAACAGGGGATCTGGGGCTTAACAGGCAGTGCAACATAAATATGGTGAAAATGATACAGACTGAATCAAAATCAGTTCTATTTGGCTGATTTTACCTAGAGATGTAGAGTTGTAGATGCCATATCTTTGCTCAGAAAGATTTCACCCCCAAAAATTACCGGCGGGAAATAGGGGTTGGAAGAGAACATCCCTTACCTCCTGCAGCACATTCTTTTCTGTGCTCCTCTCTTGTTCCTGGTTCCGCTTTGGCTTCCTAAAACCATAAAGAGATTTTATTGCGGTACGTAGAGTGGAAATCCTCCATAACCAGTCATTTCCCAACTTCCTGCCCTCTCCCGCCCCACCCTGTGGAAACCAACTCTACAGCAGTCAAAGACCTGTGCTGGGCATTAGGAAGAAAAGAGGACTGGCTCCAGCGGGGCTACCAGTCTAGCTGAGGCATAAAGAAGAGAAACACACGGAAAGCTGCCCACGGGATACAAGTCACCACCACGCAAACTAGGATAAGGAGCCAAATAAATGCATTACGGATGAAGAAGTTCTCTGCAAAGGGAGGAGAGCAGCATCATGGCTTGAGAAGCATGGAAAGTCCCTGCTGACAAGGAACCAGCTGGAGCTTGAGGGTGAGGAAGGAATGGGTGGGTGAAGAAGTGGGGGTGATTTAGGACCACGGCACCAGCTTTCCAGATGGGCGGCCAGGGAGACTGATGAAATAGCTGATAAGATGGTGTCACGCTTGGCTTTTATTCCAATGTGTTTTAAGGTCACTGACCAAGTGTCCTACAAACATATCTGTATAACAAAAATCACCCTAAAAAGAGAGTGGGTAATGTACTGCTCCTGGGGAAATCCAGTGGAAAAACTATAGATCATCATTTTTCAACATTCTCAGAAATTTTCCATAAAAAACAAGTCCAAGACGAATTTCCTTGGTAGAGCCCTTGATACTATGTCGTGTAATTTTTGGGCAATTGAAACTAAGATTTTGATCAAATGTAACAAATGCAATAATACGGGTAAAACATTAGAACATTCTTATCAACATGTAAATCATCTTAAGTTTTTTGAATCCTCCCTCAACTCATGACGTCTTCTGGCCACGGTATTTTCTTTCTCTCCTGCGCTTCATGGCCACGCTTCTGGGAAGAGGTGTCCACAGTTGCTGTTTCTAATTCTTCATCTCCTGTTAGTGACCAATGAACCACTCTGCCTCTGTACCCAACACTCCAAGGAAACTGCCCTCCCCGGTTACCTGGGAGCTCCCTACTGCCAAATCCAAGGGATCATTTTTCAGTCTTTGTTTTACTTGACCTCACTGTAGCATCTAAAATGATCTATAGAAGGGGAGGGTATAGCTCAAGTGGTAGAGCACATGCTTAGCCTACAAAAGGTTCTGGGTTCAATCCCCTGTACCTCCTCTAAAAATAAATAAGTAAACATAACTACTTCCCCCCACCAATAAAAACAAATAAATAAAAATATATAAAAAAGAAATTTTAAAAATAAAAAAATTTTTAATTAATTAAATAAAATGATTTATAATCCCCTCCTTCCTGAAGATTTTTCTTCCCTTGGTTTTCCTCTCCTGATGCCACCCCATCACTACAATAGCTCCTTCTTGGTCCCCTCTGCCATTGCCTTCTCTTATTAGGGAACAGAGTCATCAAGAGTCCATTATCCTCAGTGTTCTCTCCCTGCCTGCCAGGGTCCTTGGGAGCTCCCATCCACATGCGTGGTCCTTTGCTGATAACTCACAAATGCGTATCTGCTACCGAAAGGCCCACAGGCTAAGTTTATAAGTATGGATAAATAGCTACATATAAAATCTCCTTACAGAGTACTAATGGCTCATCTTAACCAAACTTGATTTATCTCAAATTAAATTAAATTTGCCCCATAAATTCCATTCTTCTTACTCTCACTTGCTCTCGTATTATTCTATCCATTCTGTAGGTTAAGCCGTAAGCCGGGGTGTCTACCTTTTCCCATGCCGCTGACATCCGTCACTGAGTGCTATGAATGGCACCCCCTCACTACCTCTCCAATTAGTCTCTTTTTCTCCATCATCACTAAATTCATACCATCCTCATCTCTTGCCTGAATTAGTACAATAGCATTCTAACGAGTTCCCCACCTGCATCACTGCATTTTCCAATCCATCATTTTAAAAAGTTTTTTTTATTTCTATCTTTTTCCAAGATGAGAAGAAGAGTGTTCTCTCTGAAGACTTCTGTGAAAGACTAGAGGACTCGAATTCTCCTCTGTCCAGTTTTTATAAGGGGCAACCACATTCGGCATGTGTGCGAGCCAATACTATGCTCTCTGCATACTTTACCAAGAATTAATCCAAATCACATATCCAATCACCCTACTCTCTTCAGATATGAATAGTATAAAATTTTTATCTATCTTATTACCTCAGATGTATACATGCCACAGCCTTCTCTTCACTTGAGTTAGCTGCATGAGTCTCTGTTTCTTTTAACCAAATAGGCCTAACTAAAACAATGTTTATACACTGATGGGAAGACAATAATATTAATACACACACAGACACAGACACAGACATACACACCTCTGTGCACAGAATGCAGGGAGGGGCTAATGCATGAGTAAGACTCTTGAGGAAATGTGGAGTTGAATACATGATCTACAAGTTACCCTTCGATAATTATAAATTCATACCACTGACAAGAAGCCTTCTAAAAGAAAGGAGTTTAACTCCTTTTCCATAAACATTTCACTGTTCGCCCTCACGATGCTCTACAGCAGTTTGCCATAAGGCTGTGTAACATTCGACACCACTCATGAGGCACCCCCTCCATGACACCTTTCCTGTCCTCTCGCCCCAGCCATTTCTCTTCCCTATCACTAACCACAGTCTAATTACTAAGTAATCATATGTTTCCTCCCTGAATCACAACATATCCTTGAGGTAGATATCACTGTTTTATTTAGCCTTATTTATTAAGGCATTCATTTATTTAAGAGTACACTATTGATAGATATCTAGCTGGTTTCCAGCAGACTTTTGCTGAATAAATGAGTGAATGAATGAATGAAGGAAAAATTAGTGTGGAGTCACGAGATCCTACTTCTGACTCTACTGTGTGACCTCAGACAAGTCACAAGGATGCTTTGGCCTCAACTTCTTCATCTATAAAATATTGGTATATCTAAATTCTATTAATGTCATAAGATTCTGAAAAGACAAAATGAAATAGCGCTTACAAGAGTACTATGCAAACTTAAAGGGACAGTTCCACCATTGTATGGATTATTAC